GAAGGGCAGCGGAGCTGGGGAGGGGTCTGGAGCCCCAGGCTGGTGGGGAGCGGCTGGGGGAGCTGGGGATGTTCAGCCTGGAGAAGAGACGGCTGAGGGGGGCCCCCATCGCAGTCCACCCCTTCCTTGCATGGGGCAGCAGAGGGAGAGGCCCTGATCTCTCTCTGGCGACCAGCAACAGGAGACGAGGAAATGGAAGGAAGCTGCATCAGGTTGGACATTAGGAAAAGTTTCTTCACTGTAAGGGTGGTCAGACCCTGGAACAGGCTCCCCAAAGAAGCAATCATGGCACCAAGCCTGTCAGAGGGTCTGGACAACGGTCTTAGTCATTTGGTTTAGTTTTAGGTAGTCCTGTGAGAAGCAGAGTTGGACTCGATGATCCTTATGCGTCCCTTCCAACTTGAGATAGTATATGATTCTATGACTACATTTTTGTGCACAAAGAAGCAGAAGCTGTTGCAGATATATGGGTATCTGGCATCCTATCAATTCTGGCTCAATTTATACGAGCTGGTCTCTCCTTGTGTAAGAATCCAGCCTGTATTATCCATCAATGTCACTGACAAGCCACAGGAACTGCTGAACAATGGTCTCCCTCCTCCCACCCCATGCAATATAACAGCACATCAGCTCCTGCAGAGCACTCTTGGTGTGGCCAAATACACACTGGAGCAGCACAGAAACATTGGTTTCAAATGTTTCTGCCTAGCTCCAGTTTGGTCCCTGAAGTTTTTGGATTCTGCTTGCTCTTGGGTTCCTCAGCCATTCCTCCTGCTGCCTGTTCTGCACAACCTGAGGAACACAAGGATCCCCACTGGTGATCAAGCATCTTCTCAACTCACACAAGGATCCCCACTGGTGATCAAGCATCCTCTCAACTCACCTCTCAGATCAAAGAGGGGTTGTAGGAGTTATCAAAACCAGTGGTGGCAGTAAAGGTCCCTTCCAGCCCCCTGAGTGCACTAATAAGCCTTAATGGCCCTGATTGGCCTCACCTGGGACCTCCACCCATACTCATGGGCCCATGAGCTCTACTTAAGCTCAGCCCTGGTTCTCTGCTCTCTTCTGGAGCTGTATCAGAGAAGCACTAGTTCCTGCCTGGCCATGGAGTCTCTTGACCCAGACCTCAACCTGTGGGCTGGCTTCCTTGCTTAATGTTGGTACTGTCCTGTCACTCTGAACCCTCCTGGCCATCGCTGGATCTGCTCCTAACCCTTGACCTGTGAATTGGTTTCTTCGCTTGAACGTGGACCTGCCCTATAACTGTGACGCTGCCTGGAGTCCAAGGGTAGGTTGCATGTGTATATATGTATAGATTATTAGTGAACCCAAGATACCACCTTAGCTTGTGTTGTCTGGGAGGTGAACAGCTACACATGCTTGCTCTTGCAAGAGCCAAACTTGCTCTTCAGCAGGGCCTGCCAACCAATTTGTCTGTAATGCAGTGAAGGCTGGAGCCCCACTCCGCTTGTGGCAGGCAGCAGAGCAGTGCCCAGTGATGTGCAATCCCCGCTGCAAAGCAAAGAGATCCAAACAGTTTTACTGAAAGAGGTTGTGTGTGCGAGGAAAGCAGCGGGTAAGGAGGAGAGTATTGCTTTTGCCCTTTTCGTAAAAAGAAATGGAGGCAGAAAGGAGCTGACCTGAGCGTTGGCTTGAGCCTGGGGTTGGGCTTGGAAAGACCTTCCAAAATCACAGCCCAGTATCCATCTCTAAAGCCATCCGCTGTTTCCTCCTGCTTTATAGTGCCTTTAGAGAGACAAAACAGCCCTGTTCACACTGGATAACTCTCTGTGTCTTGCGAAAAAGCAGTTTCCTAATGCAACAGCTTTACGATCACACTAGCGCTCCCATCAACAATCCCAAAATGCAGGGGGCATACCTACAAGATGGATGTCTCTCTTCCAGTGAAGGATTTTTCCCCTGGGCAAAGGCCTGCTAGCTCTCTATCATGGGTCCCTTCCATTCAGCATGCAGTAGAGAAGGTGTAAACTTTTCCACTTTAAGCTGGAGTCCTCTTTTGAGTGTGCAATCCTATTTCTAATTACCTCTGATGATGTTTTAAGAGACTGCAGGCGCTCAGTTACTGCTTAGACTCTAGGCTGCAAGCACTGAGAGCGCTGCCAAGCTTCCATGGGAACAGACCATGACTTCTTTAGTTGTATTTAGATGCGGTGTTTAGGGACAGGGTTTAGCGGTGGGATGGCAGGGGTAGGGGAACAGTTGGGCTGGGGGAGCTTAAAGGGCTTCTCCAACCCAAATGGTTCTGGGATTCTATTCTATGATTACACTGCTGGGTTAGAAAGCCTCTCATTGCTGGATTCACTTTTATCCAGTTTTCTTGCTGATCTCTCAGAACAGCTATTTTTTGTTGCTGATTAAGATAAATGGCAAGAGCCTTCAGGCTCTTAAGTCTTCAGTCACCAGCACACAACTCCTGCTGGAATATTGGGATAAAGGTTGGGGGGAAGAATTCCTTCCCCCGTATATTGGATTAAATGGATAGATTATTTTTTTTTCTACAGTGCCCCCTACTTATTTAAAGATACAGAAACCTTGAAGGTTTTCTTAGAGGTGGTACGTAAGACCTGTGAGAGGAGTTTCCCCAGGAGCTGTGCCTTGGGCTGAGCAGGCCCATGGTTGGGATGGGTTTGGCCTGTGGTGGGGCGCATGGTGCCCCACAGCCTGGCACCGCTCTGCTGAGCTGCCTCCTCAGGGAAGAGGATTAGAGGTTTTGTTTTGTTTTTTTTTCTTCTTACACCAACCCAAACCTCAACAAGAACCTGTCAGTGAACTAAAACCACTGCAAGATGATCCAAGGCCCTGTGAGGATGGGCTGGGAGAGCTGGGTTTGTTCAGCCTGGAGCAAAGGAGGCTCAGGGGGGGATCTCATCCCCATGTACCAGTACCTAAGGGGTGGGTACGAGGAAGATGGAGACTCCCTTGTCACAAGGAGTCCCATGGAGAGGACAAGAGGGAATGGACACAAGTTGCTCTTGGGGAGATTCCGACTGGACACGAGAGGGAAGTTTTTCCCCATGAGAACAGTCACCCATTGGAATGATCTCCCCAGGGGAGGGGTTGGCTCTGCCACATTGGGCACTCTCAAGCCTCAGCTGGACAGGGTGCTGGGCCATCTTGTCTAGGCTGGGCTCTTGCCCAGAGAGGTTGGGCCAGGTGATCCTGGAGGTCCCTTCCAACCTGGGATTCTGGGGTTCTTCCTGTGACCCCCCCCACACGCTTGCCCACCTCAGCCTGGCCCTGGCGGCGCAAAGCCCGACGGGCGTGGGGGGAAAAGGATGAGAAAATTCCAGATTGGATGTGGGGGGAAAAGGATGAGAAAATTAGAAATTGGATGTGGGGGGAAAAGGATGAGAAAATTCCAGATTGGATGTGGGGGGAAAAGGATGAGAAAATTAGAAATTGGATGTGGGGGGAAAAGGATGAGAAAATTCCAGATTGGATGTGGGGGGAAAAGGATGAGAAAATTAGAAATTGGATGTGGGGGGAAAAGGATGAGAAAATTCCAGATTGGATGTGGGGGGAAAAGGATGAGAAAATTAGAAATTGGATGTGGGGGGAAAAGGATGAGAAAATTCCAGATTGGATGTGGGGGGAAAAGGATGAGAAAATTAGAAATTGGATGTGGGGGGAAAAGGATGAGAAAATTCCAGATTGGATGTGGGGGGAAAAGGATGAGAAAATTAGAAATTGGATGTGGGGGGAAAAGGATGAGAAAATTCCAGATTGGATGTGGGGGGAAAAGGATGAGAAAATTAGAAATTGGATGTGGGGGGAAAAGGATGAGAAAATTCCAGATTGGATGTGGGGGGAAAAGGATGAGAAAATTAGAAATTGGATGTGGGGGGAAAAGGATGAGAAAATTCCAGATTGGATGTGGGGGGAAAAGGATGAGAAAATTAGAAATTGGATGTGGGGGGAAAAGGATGAGAAAATTCCAGATTGGATGTGGGGGGAAAAGGATGAGAAAATTAGAAATTGGATGTGGGGGGAAAAGGATGAGAAAATTCCAGATTGGATGTGGGGGGAAAAGGATGAGAAAATTAGAAATTGGATGTGGGGGGAAAAGGATGAGAAAATTCCAGATTGGATGTGGGGGGAAAAGGATGAGAAAATTAGAAATTGGATGTGGGGGGAAAAGGATGAGAAAATTCCAGATTGGATGTGGGGGGAAAAGGATGAGAAAATTAGAAATTGGATGTGGGGGGAAAAGGATGAGAAAATTCCAGATTGGATGTGGGGGGAAAAGGATGAGAAAATTAGAAATTGGATGTGGGGGGAAAAGGATGAGAAAATTCCAGATTGGATGTGGGGGGAAAAGGATGAGAAAATTAGAAATTGGATGTGGGGGGAAAAGGATGAGAAAATTCCAGATTGGATGTGGGGGGAAAAGGATGAGAAAATTAGAAATTGGATGTGGGGGGAAAAGGATGAGAAAATTCCAGATTGGATGTGGGGGGAAAAGGATGAGAAAATTAGAAATTGGATGTGGGGGGAAAAGGATGAGAAAATTCCAGATTGGATGTGGGGGGAAAAGGATGAGAAAATTAGAAATTGGATGTGGGGGGAAAAGGATGAGAAAATTCCAGATTGGATGTGGGGGGAAAAGGATGAGAAAATTAGAAATTGGATGTGGGGGGAAAAGGATGAGAAAATTCCAGATTGGATGTGGGGGGAAAAGGATGAGAAAATTAGAAATTGGATGTGGGGGGAAAAGGATGAGAAAATTCCAGATTGGATGTGGGGGGAAAAGGATGAGAAAATTAGAAATTGGATGTGGGGGGAAAAGGATGAGAAAATTCCAGATTGGATGTGGGGGGAAAAGGATGAGAAAATTAGAAATTGGATGTGGGGGGAAAAGGATGAGAAAATTCCAGATTGGATGTGGGGGGAAAAGGATGAGAAAATTAGAAATTGGATGTGGGGGGAAAAGGATGAGAAAATTCCAGATTGGATGTGGGGGGAAAAGGATGAGAAAATTAGAAATTGGATGTGGGGGGAAAAGGATGAGAAAATTCCAGATTGGATGTGGGGGGAAAAGGATGAGAAAATTACAAATTGGATGTGGGGGGAAAAGGGTGAGAAAATTACAAATTGGATGGGGGGGGAAAAGGATGAGAAAATTAGAAATTGGATGTGGGGGGGAAAGGGTGAGAAAAATTGAAAATTGGGGGG